GTTATCATTTTTGCAATGAGTCGAAATAAAATTTAACAATATATTTAAGAAAAAAAGTTCTTTATTATATAAGCTAACGCAAATGTTAATTTGATGATAGAAACATCAAAATAAAATAAAACGCATTTTTGATGAGTCGCTTTTATGTCTGGTATCATGGATCGTGGCCTCTTTAAAATAATTCAGGATATCGAATACTGTGATTTTCAATAATGTTAACATTATCACATTATCATCCTCAGAAAATGTTTCAAGTACATAAAAGCTTATTTTACTAGTCCTAATATTTATTTACATGTTGAAATGCCAATTTTCCAATTTTTTTTCTCATATGTTCTGTTGTCTTCATCACTGAATCTTTTACACTAACTTTTACATTAGTTTGGATGGACTATCCATGCAATCATCTATTCTTTGCACAATAGTATCATGTTTTTCTTTCACTCATAAGAGTTACTTTAATATGAGCAATGCAGATACATGTGAAGCGATTCAACGTTATCGAATGGTGTCAGTTCTTTGTCTTGCTCTTTAGTGTTTAGAGCAAAATAGAATTATTATGCTATAGTTTTTCTACTCATCTCAACAGAGATAAGGACGAAGCGAATATTAGTAATTCAATATTATTAACACTTCCTTTCTCATGGCGAAAGTTGAAGACCTGGAACTAAAATTCGTCCAATATTGTGATCACAGTGGTCTCTAATATGAAGACGAAAAGTTTGAATTACAACACTTATCAACACAGCTGTAGAACAAACAGAAAAGACATACTCTGTATAATGATACTATACTATAGCAAATACATTCCTTTTCCTCACTTACCTTGAATATTTTTTCCTTTTGATCTTTATTTCTACTATGCCGTACAGATGGTAAGCATGACATACATATATTTATCTTCCCCTTTAGCTTTAGTTATTTTCGAAACATTCTTGTTCTGTAATATTTTTCTGACATTTTTCTCTCCCGTTCGTATTTCTTTCCAATAGTTTTCGTTATTTTCTGTTTCATTCAAATATATATGTGTGATCGTTTGCAAAATAAAGAAGAAGTTTAATATTAATCTATGAGATCAATCACACGTTAATACTCTCTTATTGCATGACTCTAGCATATGTCATAACATAGTATATTTGTCTGAGTAGCATAATAAAGATTTTACGAAGAATTTCATGCTCGGACTATTGTTGTAAAATGTGCAATAGATGTACCTTAGTGTGCTATAAAATTAGTTTCTATACGTCTTATAGCTCGAGAAAAGGAAACTTTAAAAAAAATGGTATCTATAGGTAACATTGAAAAAAGAAAGGGTTAATTTAAAACAAGATGTGCTTTATTTTCGAATCAGTCTCATCTCGAAATGTAAATCTTTATTTTTTTCGACGAAGTAGAAACCTATGAACATTTCTAGCATTGATCTGAGCGCTATTTTTTGTAATTCTGGTCTTTTTTTGAGTCATATCCTCCATAACTTGATGCGTGTTCTGTTGTTCATTTTTATTCAACGAGACACATTACAAGTAGCAAACGATGACAATTTAAAAAAAGTTACTCAAAGAACTGATTGTACGATTAATGTTAACAAGCTAAGCTAGAAACTCGAAACGAATGGACTAGAGCTATTCTTGAGTGATATATATTTGACATTGTTTCAATAAGTTCCGTTCAGTTCAATTAAGTCGAGGTCTATTTATTATAACTACAATAAGATGGAAAAATAAAATTAAGAAAGAAAATATATATGTTAACTTTTTTTCTATGTACAGCCAATCACTTTTTTGCATCGTCTTGTCCGATTGTAACTGTTTAATGACCTTTGCCCGTTGTTCGAAATATAAATATAAGTAGTGCCTACCAATTTTCATACAAACGAACAATAAAACCTGTCACTGTTGGTGACCAATTTTAAATGGCAACTGAAATCAAGACAAAAACTACAACGATTGATACAAAAGATCGAATCAAAGAATACAAATTGAGGAAACAAAAGCAATATGAAAAGGTAGATAAAGAAATCACATAGAATCAACCATACAGTTTGCCAAATACTCGAATTATTGACGAACATTTTTAAACTTAATTTTCTTCCTAACAACGAAGTTCTATTTTAATTCTATCATTATAGTTGTATATTTGGACTGTTGTTTTGGGGGTGTTGACTTCCATCAGTTACGTTGCAGTGGTTGTCTTCTCTTCATTAAATGCGATAGAGCTCTATAAATGGCAAATACAATTTCGTAACACAACCAATTTCGAAGACATTACAAATGAATGCTTCCATATGAATATGCTCATGCATGGGTATTTTCTGATTATAATAACCAATTATCTTCTTTTTGACTTATCATCTATGGGTTCCCGTAACCTTGTTCAAATATGGCGAGAATGGGATTCGTCGAATACTATTATTCTTTTATTTATCTTCCTCTATATGTTATCGATATTTTCTCCGCATATCGCGCAATATGCTGAACTAGTATCAAAAAAAGGAATTTTCAAAGTAAGTCAAAGTCTAAAAATAACTCTTCTTGGTTATTGTAATACTGTATTTCTAGGATGAATATCTACCTTACAAGGCACCTAAATCATTTTTTTATTTTCAACTAACAGCAATTTTGTGTATATTTCTACAGACTATAGCTAACATCATTATCAATTGCGTGAACACTGTCAAAATAAAGAATTACGACGAAATTTCCTCGGAGTCTGTTATCGATGGAAAAAAGAAGCAATGTCATCAGTCTGAAAAGAAAAATATGCCCGATGGCCTCGATCAACACGACTTTAAACAATAAAAAATAGTCATTTATCATGTATCATTATTTCTCACGTTTAGAAAAAAAATCAATTATTATTGAATTTTATTGCATACATGTATGTGTATCACTTCTATATCAGAATATTTCCTTCGATTAGATTGATCGAATACAACTGAATAGTATATTTGTATGGAATATTTCATTACAGCATTGTTAAGATTTATTCCACACACATGATACTTACCTGTCGTGACAAAATTCTTTAGAAACTCAGTCGAAACTTGTTGATTAAAAAAGTCAATTGCAATGGAAAAATATAATGATGCGAATCATTTGACTATTCTTGTCCTAGGAGAGAAAAATACCCATTACGACTTTTCCATTGAGCATGTCGGTCGATATCGATAGAGTTTGACTGAGTGTACAAGAGATCGTTTGATCATCATTAATAATGTCTTGTTGATCTTTATTCCAGCTTACGCTGAAAGATGTCAACGACGAATCAATCTGTCTTTATGTGCTACTGAATTTCATAATAATTGAATATTTGACTTTACCTTCGCTATCTGCGAGAGTAATTTCACAGAAAATATTTGTATTCAGACTAGATCGAATGACTTCAATATAAATAGATGGTTGCTTATTAAAACGATAGATATCATTGATTGAACTACTTTCCGATACACGAGCATTTTAGTTTCTCACTTAATATGCATAACACAAACTTTAATTAACATTATCATTGAAAATTTCTCAGAAATTTCTCAAACATTATAAAGAATCAAAAGGTGTTTATGATGAAACTCTTGTAAAAACGAATTCATTTCTGAAAAATCTTGCCGATTTGATATTGATTAAAAGTGCTTATATTGTCGCGGTTAACTATCATAATGCATCAAATTATTTCTTCATCACTGTTTTCTGAAATTTTACTTCCAGTGAATATAAAGCATTCAATGGAAGCTATGTTGTTGATTGTAAGTCTTATTGCCGAACTTACTTTGTAGTCGATACCGAATCTTTGGATAGTGATCTTTCATCTGCTTTAAATAATAATAATTGAATCGATTCGGATACTGTACAAAAACTGACAAGTGTCGATCAAATTCATGATAAATTGAATAACTTTGATAAAGGTTTCAAGGTAAGAAAATCAGAGTTACGATTAAGAGGCATCTTTAAATCTGCATAACAACAAAATAGTGATAAGTTATCGAAACATATATTCAAGGGGCAAAAGAAAAGTTCTATTAAATAAAATCAAAACAGTGGCAGTTCCTCTTTTTGTAATCTTACTCTTTCAATGTTCGAATTACAATCAACATTGATTTCATTGCCAGTACAGAATAAAAGAAAACGACGATGATAACTAAATATAATTTGTACTATCAAGAATAAGAAACCTCTTTTTTTACTATTTCGATAAAAATTTAAATGAGACCTTATCGATATTTTGAATTATTTTTCAATGAAAAATATTGATTTCTATCAAAATACAACAAATAATGTAAACAAATCAGACTATACATGTTATATGTATAATCAGAGCATAATTATATTAGAGTTAGGTTTTTTTTGACATTAATGGAATAAAGCAAAAATCATGAGTAATTTTCAAAAGTGGATTGAAGATTAGAGAAGTATTGATATCGTATCCTATAGAGTGTGATTAAGAGTATGTATTTCAGTCAAATACCTATGCCCACACTCTCAATCGAACACGTTGTCATTTTATCAAAAGATGCTTTCTATTCGTAAAAAAAGCTCTTCCTTTGAATGATTTATCATTAGCTAATCTCTATAATAATATCAAATCAATATATTATTCGATGAACAAATATTCAAACTCTATCAGTTACTATCGAAAAGCAATGATAATAGTACAGAGTATCTCATCCGCACATGACTTTTCGTTCTCTACGTACTGTAATATTGACGATATCCATGGTTACATAGGAAATCAACAAATGATTTCATTTATGTGTAAGCAATAAGATTAAAATTAGAATGTCCGATCCCCAGTACATCTGATTATTGATCAATATCTCATGTGTCTACACTCACACCCTATTCTATCCCTATCAACAAACACCCCAACACCCAAACTGCCTAACATTGATTCGTATATCTTTATTGTGTATCAAATAAATCTTTCTTTCTTTAGTCTATTCAATAGTACAAGCGTTTATTTTATTCTTCGACATCATTGAAATTCTGACTCATTATTGTCGGCAATTATTATTCTTTATCTTGGGATTCTTGCTCTTCGTCACCATCATCCACAGGACTACCTTTGGTCGTGATAGGTGCGATTGCAATCCAAAGTTCATTATTGATATTGTTGGTTGTTGTTTGTAATTCGACATTCGGCAAAGGAACTAAAACATTTTCATCCTCGTCAATACCATAAGTTTTTGCCCAAAAAGCCAAATCTTCCAATGAATTTTGTTGAGTAGTAATATTCGAGATAAGTTCATCATAGATTTGTTCGATTTCCAATACATAATTTCTTACATGCATTGTCTGAGTAAATACAAGGAGAATCTCTCGAATTTGTTCCAGACGTTGTTTTTCAATTTGCTGACATTGAGAAAATATCTCTTTTGCTTTCTTTCGATATGCTTCTTTGCTGCTCGCGTAAATCTCTTCAGCATTTGCCATTTTCGCTTCAAGTCGCTTCAATTCAGTTTCGTATTTTGTTTGATTGATTGCTTTGTTTATTAGCTTTTTCTCAGTGACCACTTCATTGTTTGTCACTTTTTCAAAAGTTTTATCTGCATTCAGAACAGTCTGTTCTATACGACGAATTTGATCATGTAATTTGTCGAGATTTATCTTAGCATTGACGACAGAAATGTGAGCATGTTTGAAAAGTTTTTCGAATTCACGATATCGGCAATGTTCATAGCGACGTCCAAAATGAACGCGCCTGTAAGTCTCATCGATAAGTCTGCGATAATTATCAATTATGGCTCGCAAAGCGTTGTAACGATTATCATCGATACGTGCAAAATGTCTTGCAATATGAATCGTATCGAGTTGCGCACGTTTGGTTGTATGATACGATGAAATCATTGGCTGATTGTTCAGGTGTTTAACCCATTTTCGATTGAATGACAGAAAATTTTGAACACGGTTTCGATAGATATCACAATAATCTTCCATCATATGGATCAAATCTTGAGCAATATCATAGCCTAAAACATAATATATCAAAATGAATGGCGTGAAAATTTACCAAAATACAAAAGAAAAACCCAGACACTCACCACCATTCATACGTTCGAGAGCGGCTCGAAAGTTTTCTCCATCAAAAAAGTCATTGCCTGCATAGGAATCGAGTCGATCATGTTCTATTTGAATGCTGTTCCGAGCATTGGCGACTACCGTCTCTCCTAATCCAACACAAGCGCCCAGCTTGATCGAAGTATTGACTTTACGTATCATCATACTTTCGAATTCAGTATTCATCAGCTAATGGCAACGTTGATTATTGCCAACAATCAAAGTCAATATTCAATGGAGAACGACACTGGGAAAATGAGATAAATTTACAACACCACTTACATTTATAGACACTTCATTTCTGTTTTTTCTTCTTTTCATAGGAAGTTATTTTGCAGATTATTCATCGAGAACAAGAAAAAATATAATTGCGCAAGATTGGGTAATAAGTCAAAGAGTGAGCATAACAACAAGAGCAAACAAAAGAAGATTAGTTGGAAACGATCATTCTCCAGTATTTGGTTACTTTCTTTCCTTTTTTTACGAAATTCATTAAAGTGATTTTTGCTTCAATTTACCATGTGTTTGATTTCTTTCTGCTAAAAAATCTAATGGGTGTGGATGTGTCGGTATGGATCTTCCGACCATTCATATCCATATCAGCACCCACACTTACACCAACACTTCAGAACGCTTTTTCTCTTCGATGAGAAAGATGCATCTGTTTATTAGCAAATGTTGTTCTCTGATGTTAAAATCGTTGAAATGTTCCTTGAATTTGTAACCATTGGAGATGTTGTGAAGAGAGCGAAGTTGAAGGCTCGTTCGTTTTTTTCTTTACTTCGACTATAATACTCACACAATAGTGACAGACTGTTATCATGGTTTTTGTTTCCTTTCATCTTTTTGTCCTTTGTGGTGTCATATGTATTGTACAAATACAAGATTTCAATAGCTTTGACACACCAAAAAAAAACATCTGTCTATTCCTTCTATGAATACTTGTGCATAGAAAAACCAAACACAATTTTCATTTCATCGGCTGTGAGTGTTTTTATAGTCAGCAGTATGAGTTTTATGCGAAGTAAATCCAGAGTTTTTCTCAAGTCGCAATTAAAATTCAATCTGTTGTTGTACTGTTTTCGAATACCGATTAGAGTGAGCACTGCATGTTGATAGTGATTTGTGCAAAACTAATTCTCAGAACGAAAAGTTGTTCACTCAAAAATCTTCTTGATGTTGGAGTGTCATCACGTTTCGAAGAATCAAACAAATCGAGATATCTATTCTTTGGATATTGTGTCAATTCAAGTTCGATGCTAGAATGAATATATAATAGCTAACCAGCAGATTTCTCTTGATTTGAAATTTAAATTACAGTCTTCCAAGTTCAGTAAAAATTGTTTTCATCGATATAAGAATGTTAAATGCATACTGTTCTTTAGTTTTCTCTCAATTTATGACAAATCATCTTGAATAGGACCTTCTTTTAGACATCACTTGAGGGAAACCTATCGTGATAGAATAGTTTCCTTGTTCATCGTCTTAGATGGTATTAATAAGTTGAGTTACTAAGACTTTCAGATATTATCCACTTCAAATTCAATCAACTTGACTTTTCGAAGTCATATTAGACTATAAGAGCTTCTTTAGATCTACTGATATAAATATTCCATCAATTATTGATAGCTATATAGGCTGCATTTGAATCTAGATAACGCAAAGGTGTAGTTTGAGGACTTTTCATCAGGAAGGAACGATATCGTTAAAGTGTAGATCGTCATTTGAACAAGAATTTGACTTCTTTTTGACGCAATATTTGAATAATGCACTCACAATGGCTTCGAATTCAAGACATTGAGTGGTTAATGAAAAGTTCAATGGAAAATAATCATTTTCTGGAAGTACAAATCTTCATTAATGGACTCTATGTCGAACACGATATATAGTATGCTCTGAAAGTTAGTTTTGGCCAACAAAGTCAAAATTACTCCATCTGATGTCTAGTTAGTGTTTCAAACATAATGAGTGTAGAATAGAAGATATCAGCGTAATTATAAATACTTTTTTCAAGCTACGCAAGAGTTCAAACGACTAAAACCTGTATTATTCAGCACTTAAATGATACATGCTTTGACTCAACCAGATCAATGATATGTGATTCGTGCTTTCGGTCACCGAAGTTTTTAAACTCAACTGCATACAAATTAAAAGAAAAAAACCGTAACAAAAATCTAACTTATCGGTAGAGAAATGTAAAGTATAAGTCGAAAAGCATAACTTGACTGACTCATTACAGCCTGAAACATTTGCAGATTGGAGTTTGTTCATTCAGTACTTTTATTGTCATATTAGAAGATTTGCTGCATTCAGGAATATTACTAGAGGATGACTGCATTATGCAGCCTAATAGAGTAAGACGATTTTTTCAAAAAATAACTTTACATTCAGTGTACTCTTTCTACGATGCAATTTGCATCCTTATCTTCATCACTTAAAACTTGTTGGCCTATGCAAAGTTAGATACCATTGGGAAAATTTTATTGCCGCCAGAATATCTTCATTGAAATAATGCGAATTCGCCTTTTATGACAATGCTCGAAAACGATAACATACTTAGTTTACATTGAACTGATGTCTTCAAGTCAAACATCGTTATGGATTGAGAGCAAACATTGACTTGTTCATTGTGCTTATGTTCTAGATGACAGACGCTCATGGCTCTATACAACTCCAAGCTTTAGGCCGAATTTTCCACACTTAGCCAGGTTTTAAGTGTCATCCACGGCTGCAGAGTATTTTTTCGCTCAACGACCCATAGACACAGAGATTCATAACAGCGATACACTATTGTTTAAACTGGCTACTGGAACCATGATACTCCTTGATGGATTCGGATGAGATTTGATAGGAAATCCGAAATATTTGATGTCTCACTCACATATGAACATTTTCGTTCGTAGCTATAATGAATTTGATGTGTTCGCCAAACTTTAGGATTCAAATACACTTTATTAATCATTTCAATAGAAGGACGTTAATTTAAATATTTTCTACTAGGCTGAAGTCAGAGAAAAATGCTACGTGTTACATATCTAACTCTCCTTCATTCATCAAATATTGATGGACTCCTAAATAAAATTGGGCGACTCATTCTTTTAGTAGTTCAAGTGGTTACCGTCAATTTAATTTAATGCTCTATATACAGTGAATTTTTTCATTCGATTTCATGTGCCGATGATCACTAGTGTTTCATCATTTCTATAGCATAACTTCAATTTGCTTGAGAGTGTGGGTGTGACGAAAAGATTCGAGTTCAAATTCATCCACTCATACTCTCCATGAAAAAGTTCATTAACGCCAGCAACTCAACATCAAAGTTTTAGAAATCATTTCAAGATGAATGTCAATTTCACAAAAAATCTTCAACGTTTATTATATGCTTTTGTTCTCGTCAACTAGTTCACTGCTATAAAGACAATGAATCTTTCAAATGCTGGAAGAATTCATTATCTTTATAACAGTACAACGTTTACGAAAATTCGATACAGAATTTATGAAGTTAAAAAACTTCATTGTACTTTATATATTATTCTACGCTTGTGTTTACAGTATTCGCAATGTCAATTGTATAGGAATCGACTATGGTTGTAGCTTGTAGAGGATCGAACATATGCCATAGAACGAGGTAATTTCCAGATCATTTCATGAAATAATTTCCGAGATTTATGCAAAACACTTTATTTTCTACAAATGCTCCACAGAGGAAAAAAAGTATTATTATTCTTTGTGCACTACTACATCGGAAATGTAGTAATAATGCCAGATATTCATTGGGTAGTCTGTGTCAAGTTTCGACTCAAGTATGTGTCGTGGAATTTGACAAGCTCTTTTGAACAGTGTCCTTGTCGAACTAATTCATCCGAGCAAAACTTCGGAAGGCTGGGTGATTGTGAATGTAAGTATAATACTTCTGTATAGTAATATCGTCATTTTCTCTCATTTTTTTTCTTTGTTAATATAATGTTTTGTATTTTGATACATTAATAGCATCGTAGATATTTTCGTTTTTTTTTTTGAGCTTTGCCCATGTATTGACTTACTCAAAATTGAATGCTATTTGAAAGGGAAACATATCAAGCGTCAAATCAGTATTGGCATTCAATAATTAACTGAAGTAAACAAACACAGAAGCTTGCATAAATAGTTTATTCGAAACAAAAATAAAAGATATTATATAATATTTTAGATAAATAAATCAAGCGAATGTTTTTTTTCACGATTATCACTGCTAT